ACATACAACACAGCTACATCCATTTGTTTACATGTTGTCAGTGACAATTTCACGCACGATGGTGAAGTTGAGTCGTTTCAATAGACACACTGGGGCCCACAGAACCTAACGTATTAAGTACATAGCTTACTGCAGATGAGGTTTGTCAGTCTCGGGTTTCGAATCTGTTCATGATAAGGTTAGAGCAAGTGCAGTCTCCAAGAGTCATAGGAACTTGTCATAAATGTCAAATTCTGTTGTCAATGGCCGTGTCTAAGTCCCTCTGCTTAAATGTGAGCTGGCGTAGTGGCTTAATTTTAACAGATATTATGGCAAAAGTGACAAGTTGTCACCTCCGTGGTGAGGTTACGAAATAACCGGGGTTTGTCCTGGTGCTGCTGTCTTCTGGTTTGCACACCTTGGTGAAACCAGCTGCCATTGAGAAGAGGCCCACTCTGAGGGCCACTTCTGGCCAATTGCTAGCAATGGCCTGAGGTCCTTACAGCACCCGGAGAACTGAATCCTGCCAATAACCACCTATGTGATCTTGGGAGCCGCTCCTTCCCCAGTCAAGTCTCAAGATGATTCACAGCCACAGCTGACACACTTTGAATGCCTGAGATAGGGTCTGTCTTAGGGTTTCTACTGCTGCGACGAAACACCATGACCAAAAAGCAAGTTGGAGAGAAAAGGGTTTATTTGGCTTATACTTCCATATTGCTGTTCATTATTGAAGGAATTCAGGAACTGAAATAGGGCAGGATCATAAACAGGGCAGGATCTTGGAGACAGGAGCTGATGCAGAAGCCATGGAGGAGGGGTGTTTCTTACTGGCTTGCTCCCCTGGCTGGCTCAGCCTGCTTTCTTATAGAAGCCAGGACTACCAGCCCAGTGATGGCACCACCCACCATGGGTTGGGCTCTCCCCCACTGATCACTAATTGAGAAAATGTCTTACTGCTGGATCTCATGGAGGCATTTCCTCAACTGAGGCTCCTTCCTCTCTGATGATTCTAGCATGTATTAACACATAAAAACAGCCAGTACAGGGTGGTCTGAAGCAGAGGACACAGGGAAGGTGCGGTGGTTTGAATGAGAATAGCCCCTATAGGCTCCTATGTTTGAATGCTTAACTGGTCCCCAGTTAGTGGAACTGTTTGACAAGGATTAGGAGGAGGTGTGGCCTTGTTGGGGGAGGTGTGTCACAGGGATTGAGCTTTGAGGTTTTAAAAGGTCACACCAGGCCCAGTCAGTCTCTCTCCCTCCCTCCCCCCTCCTTCCCCCCTCCCCTTCCCTCTCCCTCCCTGCTACTTTCAGATCAAGTTGTGAGTTCTCAGCTACTTCTCTCGCATAATGTCTGACTGCATGCTGCTATGCTTCCTGCCATGGTGATTGTGGACTAACTTTCTAAAATAGTGAGCAAGCCCCCAATTAAATGCTTCCTTTTATATGAGTTGCCTTGGTCATGGTGTTTCTTCCAGCAATAGAACAGTAACTAAGACAGAAGAAACTTGCTCCATAGATACTGTTTGATAATAAATTTTAAGCCACTAAATTTGGGGCTTTTGTTTGTTATCCAGCAACTGATAACCAATACAAACCCTAAACTTGTAGTCTAGATCTTGGCACACATTTTGTGCCAATTTTCAGTACAGAGAAGGATAAAATCATGGACATACATGAAGATGGCCAGTGTCTGAACCTCTTTTCTGGTGTTCAAGATCCTCTATATCGAGGGTCTTTTCCCACTAGGGCAGTATGTTCTCAACTACTCCATGTCAGGCCATAGTCAGAAAATGAGATGCCAGCTACTCAATAAATACTGTCTGAAGAGTGGACTCCGAGGACTACAGTTTCTGCAGGGCTATCCTGAGCTGAAGGTGTCAATAAGTCAGCATCCCTGTAACGCTTGGTTTAAGCTATCAGTGTCTATTGGTAGCCGCTGGCATGGGCATGAGATGCGTGCTTGCCAACTTTGAAATGTGGACAAGTGCTGTGGAGATCAGAAGTCAGAGAGCAGAGAGCCCGGCGTAAAGGTGGTATATTTGGGGGTGATTCTGTGTCCCTTCAGGGTCTGGGCCTACTCTTTTTGACCTTTGTCTCTCTGGTTGCCCAGCTTTCTGGCCAATTCTGAGAACCTTCCAATTTTTTCACTGGGTTCTCTGTCTGCTAAGGATAGTCAGATCTGGCTCTTGTTATTTGTTACTGAGAAACTCAGCAGATGTGAATGAACAGAAATAGTGTAGTAATATATGATAAAGATGAAAAACTCAGCCGGGCGGTGGTGGCGCACTCCTTTAATCCCAGCATATGGGAGGCAGAGGTAGGCGGATCTCTGTGAGTTTGAGACCAGCCTGGTCTACAAAGTGAGTTCCAGGAAAGGCACAAAACTACACAGAGAAACCCTGTCTCTAAATACCAAAAAAAAAAAAAAAAAAAAAGAAAGAAAGATGGAAAACTCTAGGCCCAAGAAGAGCGATCAAGTTCATGGCTAATGGATGTTTACCAGTTGTCTATGTAAAATTATAATATTTTGTAATAATTTATTTTTAATTATGCATTTTAATTGTTTCTCATTATAACATTTTATGATGTTCTTTCATGTCTTTTGGTAATGATTTGGACAGTGCTATAATTATTGGATAGCCTCTTTTCATTTAGTACAGCATAGTAATTTTTCCATGTCAGTAAAACCACGTTTTAAAAAGGCCATAAAAATTGGGCCTGAGATCCACCGACTAGTTTGAAAGGGGTGGTGAGTGGTGCCTTTATCTAATTGCTTGGCTCTCTTTTGGCAATTCCACTGCCAGAAAGGGAGGCTTTTAGAAAAAAAAAAATTGCACAGATATGCAGTATGTGCCCCTGTAACCATAATCCCATTAAGTGGCATATGGATAATTTCTTCAACTGGTCTGTTTATGTTGGACATTTCATTCGCTCTATACATTCACTTACCATTAATATTCCCACACTTGGCTTCTTCTGCTTGGCTTCTGCTTTTTATTATCTGCTTATTTATTTAGGGTGTATGTGGTTTTCTTTGTGTGTGTGTGTGTGTGTGTGTGTGTGTGTGTGTGTGTGTGTGTGTGTGTGTATGTGTGTGCTTCCAAACATAGAGAGAGGCCAGAAGTCACTCAGGTGCTTTTTCCTCAGGAACTGTCCACCTTATTTTCTGAAACAGGACCTCTTACTGTCCTGGAACTCGAGCTGGAGGCTAGATGTGCTGGCCATCCAGTCCCAAGGACCCTCTTGTCTCTGCCTCTCCACTGTGACTACAGGTGCGGGCCACCACACCCCACTTTGTATGTAATGGTTGGGGCTTGAACCCGGGTCTCCATGCTTGAACAGCAAGCCCTTTACCAACTGAGCCACCCCACTAGCCTGGGTAGCCCGAAGGTCTGGTTACCTTTGTGCCCATCAGTATCCACCGAACTGATATCCCCAGTGTTCCCTTCCTCTGTTGATGTGAGAAAGTGCCATTTTACAGTGTCCTCTCACATTCCATCAAGTTTTTGAGGTTGACTGGAGGACAACCAGTCCCTACAAGAAAAAGCTTCCAACAAGGTTTTTAGAGAGTTCTATTCCCTTAACAATGCCTAGGATATGTAAGAAGTTCTGACTAAAAAGCAGTACATTTCATGAGTAAAAAAATCTTGATGACTCTTTCAAGAAACTTTGATGAGGCTTGGAGCCCATATGTTCCATCTTGGCTACCAATATGTAGAAGAACGTGGCTCCCATTGAACTCATTGCTATTTTTATATACATGTAAGTTTTAGTGTGATTTAAATTCAACGGCATCATGTAAGAGTGCTGTGACTTGAAGAATTCAGACCACTGGTTAGAGTTATGTGATATTTTTTATTAAAGAATTTTATTAAATTACATAGTGTGGGTAATTTAAGATGGAAATTAGGCGGAATGACTGCTGGTTCTGGCCAGGCGCTATGGGAGTCTTCAATTAAATCACCATTGACCCATGCTCTTTAAAAACAAAATAACTAGCCCTCCATTCAGCCAAACGCTCAGTGCTTATATGGTCCAATAATTAACCACCACATCATCTCGGGAAGCAAACACAGCATCAGAATCTGTATTATGTAGCTGACATGTGTGAAGCCTGATTTTTGCCGGCTAAGGAAAGGGTAAGCTAAACAAAGAAGTGGTGAAAACAGAATAGTAATGCTATGCGGGGGTCAGAGGGCAACACTGGGCAAATAGTGTCAAATGAGTTGACCAGGCACTCTACTGAGAATTGCAAAGTAGGAAGTCCCTTAAAAACAAAACAAAGCAAAAAAAACCCAACTCTGCTGACCTCAGTAAATAATCCTATGTTTAAAAAAGTGGGCATAATTCTCTGCCAACTAACAAAGAGGCCTATGATGAGAATGAATGATCTTATGAAATGTTTTGACGTCTCCAGAAGCCCTTCCTAAATGTACACGCAGTTTCCCGTTCCTGAACTTTGACGATCTGCCAGTCTTGATTGGTATTCCTAACGTGTCTCCCCCCCCCCTCCCCCCCATGAAGTTAACTCGGACTCCTCATGAACTAATTAATTCATTAGTGGGAGAGTCACTAATTTAAGCCGGAGCCTTCGCCTTCAGAAATGGTTTCTGGGGGTCCTTTACAGACCCGCCAGCCTTAAGGCGTTAGGAACCCCAGGCTCAGCTCCCCGCGGCCCAGCGGGGCTCGATTGCTCTCGCCTGGGCGCGACGCGGGCTTCCCCGCGGCTGAGGGGACAACACGACGAGCCGTGCGGGCGGCTGGCCGGCGCAGCGAAGGGTCCCGCGGCCGCCCGCGCCCCGCGCCCCGCGCCCGCGCCCGCCCGCGAGCCCTAGGCCGCCCAGGAGCCGGTCCGCGCGCGCACCCGGCCCGCCCCTCGCGCCGCGGCCCGCCCCTTCGCCTGGCGCCGCCCGCGCGCAGCGTCTCGCGCCGCCCGCCCGCCCGCCCGCCGGGAAACAGCCGCGAGAGCAGCGGCCGCCGCGGCCGCCCGCACCCCTCGTCGCCTCCCCGCTCCACCGCGTCGCCCCGGGCCGCGCGCCCGCCCGCCCGCCCGCCCGCGCCCCTCGCCGTCTCACCGCGTCGCCCCGGGCCGCGCGCCCGCCAGCTCCCGGCCAACGCTCCCTCGCGCTCGCCTTCGCCCGCCCGCGGCCGGTCGCCTCAACCGCCGCGCTCCGCCGGGCCGCGCGGCCCGCCGCCTGCTTCCGGGGCGGGCGGACTCTGGGCGCCTGGTGCCGGCGGCCGCAGCGACAGCGCCCCCGGGAAGCGCAGGAGGAAGCAGGGACGAGCGGAGGTGCCGCAGGCTGAGTCGCGGCCGGGGATGTCCGGGCAGCCGCCGCCGCCACCGCCGCCGCAACAGCAGCCGCCGCCGCCGCCGCCGCCGCCCGCCGCCGGGGCCCCGGGCTCCGGAGTCGCCCTGCCCGCGCCCGCGGCCGCCAGCGCCGGCTCCTCTCCGGCCGGCTCGCCCGGCGGAGGCTTGGGGGCCGCGGCGGCCGCCCTGCTGCTCCACCCGCCGCCGCCTCCGCCGCCGCCCCCGGCCACCGCCGCGCCGCCGCCCCCCGCCTCGGCGGCCGCCCCCGCCAGCGCGCCGCCCGGCCTGGCCGCGGGCCCCGGCTCGGCCGCAGGCGTCCCGGCCCCGGGCCTGGCGGCGGGCAGTAGCTCCGCGGCCCCCTTCCCGCACGGCGACTCGGCCCTCAACGAGCAGGAGAAGGAACTGCAGGCGGCGGCTGAAGCGCCTCTACCCGGCCGTGGACGAGCAGGAGACGCCGCTGCCCCGGTCCTGGAGCCCGAAGGACAAGTTCAGCTACATCGGCCTCTCGCAGAACAACCTGCGGGTGCACTACAAAGGTACGGGGCGCGGGGTCCCGCGGAGAGATCCGACGGTGCGGGGGCGAGGCTCTGGGCGAGGGAAGGTGAGAGTGGGTCCCCAGGTGGGAAGGAGGTGGGATTCCTAGGCCGGGAGCTGGACGCTTTGAGGGAATCCGGGATGACCGGACACACTGCACCTCCTGATTTCCCCGAGATAAATCTATGGGCCGGAGTTGGGTTACATTGTTCTCCAGGTGGAGGGTCAGGCGGTCTCCTCTTACGCAGCGCGGGTGAGAGGCACGATTCCGAGGTACAGTTTCTAATTAAGGGAGCGCAGAGATACACAGGAGGGGGAGGGAGGCGTGATCAGTGGAGGATTTGTCCCAAATTAGGCCAGAGATTGTCTAGGGGGACAAAAGGACGAGGGGCCCAAGTTGGCCATCATTGCACCTTATTGAAAGCAACCGGGAGGGCGAGAGGGGAACCTCAGGATTCCCTGTTTTCTTCGGGGAGCAGAAACCCGCCCCTCCGGATGGGAAATGCCCTGTGTTTCCGGGTTGATGTTACATGAAGTTTTGTTGAAAACAAGGGTTTTAAGACATGTTATTTAGCATTTTGAAGAAAATTGGCTTGTATTTTGCACCTGCAGTTAGCAGACTAAGCCACCTTAGGCTTCTGCTTCCTCCCACCCCCCACTTTTCCTAGGTTAAAACAAAGCTTAATCAAATCGGTTGTGTAGAAAATCATAAATGGCAGTAGGGGGTTCTTGAATTGTAGCTCAGATTAATGGCATGCGTCAAGTTTACTTGTGTGGAAGGGGTAAAAAAAAAAATGCAGTGACATCAGTTTGGAAGCACATTCTGTGTTTCAGGCCCTAAATCTAACGCAGGAGCTTTTACATTCTAACCAGGTTCTTTTTGATTGGCTCTAAAGGAAGGGTCTTGGGATCCTAGTGACAAGCATGTAAGAGGGCATAAACAACCTGGCGATAAGATTCTGAAAGAATTCAGAACTGGGCTTTGAGAAGAATCTTGATAAATCAGCTACTATTTAATTGGAAACGAGTATGGCAACAGAAATCTGCTGCATGATTTGGCTGTAAAGAATCTACACAAAGATAGGCCTTGTTGAACATTCCTTTTTATTCTTGCCATAGATCCAAAGAAGTGCTTACCATTTCGAACGCTGTGTTCCTTGATCTAAGTGGCTGAAAATTTCAAAATACTGAAGGCCCCCCCCCCCCCTTTTAGTTAGGACATTTTGTTGATTTCTTTCTAGATTATTACCTAATTTTGTTTTTAAATTTGTGTGAACAGTGAGTGCTATGTTTTGAAGGGTTTACTTCTGTTTTGGCTGCCAGAATGCTTTTGTTAGATTTGACAAAACTTTATCATTTTAAAATTATGGTTTATGGTAAATAAAAAGCTTATAAAAGCAGAGACTGTATATGGGGGAGGTTAGTGAACAAAGAATCGTAGCTTTCCTAAGTCCTGGCAGTCACTGGTAATATTAGGTATGTTACAAGAGAGGGCCTCAGTTTCTTCTGAGAGATGTGGGGAGTTGGGCTGCATAGTCCCTAAGGAAATTTCCATGGCGTCTTATTTCCAATAAGATTCGTGATTATGGCTTATTTAACATTATAACATGCCTTGATTAGTTGTATTTACTTCTTTTATGTAAAATTAATCATCTGGGCCAGAGACAAGTGTGTGCTTATGTGGTTGGGGTTTGAATATTATGATACTGCTGTCGCAATTATTTTTTCCTGTTGGCCTTTTTATGACTTTCTGTTGTGTAACGTTGAGATTCACTTTCTGGAAGCATCACTGTTTTATAAACATAAACCATTAATTCTGGAAGAAGAGATGTGTTGTTGTCATCCTTTTCCTCTGTTTTATCTCCTCTTTGTTTCTCCCCTTTCCCCATGTGACAAAGACTGTGTCTCTTTCCCAAACCTTCTTCTAGTCTTGTTATTTTAAAGTGTGTGTGTTTTCTGTTGTTACTATTTTTCCTGTGTGTCTTTTGAGAGGAAACCAAATATACTGGACAACTTTGACTCAGTAGCAAAAAGGAAGTATTGTAGGTAGTGAATAATAAAACTTACAAGTCACAAATAAGAGTAGATGTTTTATGTAATGTATCATTGTGCTGCCTTGATTTTTTTTTTTAGACACAAATTATTCGATTGACATTTTTCTGTATTACAGAATTTTAAAAGATTAATCATACTTGTTTTCCAAGAATGATGATCTTGATTTCCTCTGAATAAATTCTGTGTTTAAATGTTGTTCTAAATTGGAATTGCTGATTATGGAAACAGTTTCTTTAGTGATTTAAAGGTCCCATGTTAACAATGACAGATACCTAGATAAAATGAATTGAATTGCAGAAGAGTTACCATGTGTGTAGAATAGGGTATATTAAGTTTTTTTTTTTTTTTTTTTTTTTTTTACGATGTGTGTGTGTGTGTGTGGGGGGGGTGTAGGTACACACCATGGTGCAGGTGTGGAGCTCAGAGGACAACTTGTAGGAGTAGGTTCTCTCTTTCCACCATGTGGGTCCTAGACTCAGCTCATCAGACTTATTGGCAAATGCCTTTACCCACTGAGCCACCTTGCTTATATTATTATATATTATATTAAATTTTTTGAGGCTTTTTATTTAACAATCACACATCTGTTATCAAAACAGGGATGGCCCTTTTATTTAAAAAATTGTCGATATTGACTAATTTTTAAAGTGACAGGTTTAGACTTAATAATAATAACTTTATTTTATTTTTTAATGAATATTAAATAAACAGTTAATGAATGTGACATTGGGTTCAGTGAGCCTACATGTTTCAATTACAGATTACACACACGCACACATGTGTGCTGTCACTATTAGGATGCTTTACAGAGACCCAAGTAGATGTGGAAAGTGGGAGCATCTAAAGGTTAGATTTTCTTAATCACAAGTCAGACAGATGTAAAAATTAATTCTGTGGGGCTGAGGAGAAGTTCAGCTGTTAGAGCACTTGTTGAGCTTGCTGAGACTTGGGTTCAGTTCCCAGCACCAGGTCCAAGGAATCTGATGCCTCTTCTTACCTTTTTGGGCATCAGGAATACATACATGCATGCAGGCAAAACACTTTTTTTTTTTGGTTTTTCGAGACAGGGTTTCTCTGTGTAGCTTTGGAGCCTGTCCTGGACTAGCTCTGTAGACCAGGCTGGCCTCGAACTCACAGAGATCCACCTGCCTCTGCCTCCCAGTGCTGGGATTACAGGCGTGCACCATCACCGCCGCCTGGTGGCAAAACACTTTTACACATAAAATAAAATACATCTTTAAATTTTTTTGTTTTGTTTTGTTTTTTTGTTTTTCGAGACAGGGTTTCTCTGTAGTTTTGCGCCTTTCCTGGAACTCACTTTGTAGACCAGGCTGGCCTCGAACTCACAGAGATTCGCCTGGCTCTGCCTCCCAAGTGCTGGGATTAAAGGCGTGCGCCGCCGCCGCCGCCGCCGCCGCCGCCGCCGCCGCCGCCGCCGCCGCCGCCGCCACCGCCACCACCACCACCGCCCGGCTCATCTTTAAAATTTTAAAAGAAAACTAATTTTTGTTGACTCCAAGTTTTGTGATCTTTGTTTTATTTTTACTACATCTTTCCATTGGTGTGAGAATAACTTCATATTTCTAAAAGACAGTTGTGTTCAGAGGCACTTCCCATTAGGGGAAAAGGTAACTGAAGGTAAATGTAATAATGCTTCAGAAAAGTTGGGACTCTTTGATACTCCTGACTTAAAATGCTTAGGACAGACAGACGCCAGAGAATTGAAACTTCGAACCTGAGGAAGTGATGAAATAGTGAATTGCACTTTTTAATTGAAGCATCTGTAAAATCTCTAAGTAGATATTGTTTTTGTGTGTTGGGGGGGTGGGGGTAGAGGGGTATGTATGCCTGAATGCATGTATGTGCCTTGGTGTCCAGAAGACATTGGATCCCCTGGAGCTGGAGTTAGGGCAGTTGTGAGCCACCTGGTGTAGGTGCTAGAAACAGGTCCTGGGAGAGCATTAAGCTCTCTTGAATTGCTGAGCCAAGTCCCTGAAGTTACTAGTTTTTAACCCTTACTAAATATAAGTGTTTATGATTTTTGTATTTTTTCCTTAATACCTTTTTTAAAATTTATGTGTGTGCATGCAGGCTTGTGTGTGATTGTGTGTTGTGGACATGTGCGTGTGGAGGTCAGAGGACAACTTCCAAAGTTAGT